GAGGGAAAACGAGAGGGACGTTTAAGTCGAGAGTAACAAGGTAAGGAAAGGCGACTTGGATGAAAGGCACGGTGTCAACAGGCAATTTGGCTAGATATACAAGGCGAAGTGTTTCATGGATGAGTTAAAAGCAGTTAACGATGACAGTGTACCAGAAGTAGGTAGTGGAAAATGCCTAAGTACATATGAATGCTCTCCAAAAGAGAGATCATTCAAGAGAAACTGCTCAAGTAGTTAAGGTCTCTCTCGGGAAGGATGATCACACAAATAGATTTTAGTGACAAAACACCAAAGCGTATCAGGTGCCACAACCACAGACTACTAATTTTCTTCAATAGAAACCAGCGTCATGCTATGATATTCGACTACATGTTGAGAGCCGCTAATGCTTTCCGAACAACCACGTGGACACTATATATTTGAATTCAGCTGTTTGACCAATTTTTAAGCCGTTAACTTCCACTGATTACTGATTACAGTATAATTTTGCGTGCATATTTATTTCACAGATTGGGCCCGTCATTCAGATTTAGCAGAGGTGAAGCGTTCCGTGGAAATCGCTGCACAGGTACTGCACACTGGCATGATAACCGATCCATCTCCGCGTAGCCCGCACACAGTCCCTTCAAACGAGTGATGGTACTCCTGAGCATAAGATGGGCGACCTCGCCAAACCAATTCTCAAAAACCAGAATGTAGTGTACTTAGCTGGTGTTCTCACTTTTGGAGCTTAGTGGGATCGATAACTCTGTATTGGGCGTCTACTGTGCAAGGTATTCGTGGGAACTCAGACAGACCTGTCATATTTACCTCTCGAGAAGCACATGCATATTAGCTGCAACGATTTTCAGCTTTCCCTGACCGGTGAACAATAGTGTTCCGAGGGTTTCTCACATAGTGGTTCACTTCTACGAAACGTTGTGCAATAAAGTAGCCCAGAGTTCAGTTTTTTGTTGTTAGCTTGACTAACGTACTGCTTTATACTTAGCAACTAGTGAGGTCGCGATCCACTCTAACATCTGTCAACTAACGGTTTCCACTGGAAACCGATAACATCTTGACAGGTTTACTGAAGAATATGTGGTTTCAACACAAGTCAATCAACTTTGTACCGTTGTCAAACAAAATTTGGAAACCACACTGGTGGTGAGTGAGTTGGAATCCTAACACAGTAGAACGGAGTTCTCAGGAGAATGTAACAAACTAACTGGGGAGTATAGGAATGTACTTTAGCACATTGGCACTAACCTAATGTACCAAATGCTGTGCTTCATTTGACCGAGGATTCTAGGTTCTGTTTATCGTAGTTAGCTCATGGACAAAATTCAGTGCCAGATATTTTAAGATGTTTTCTTCAAGTATCAAGTATCGTGGGAGAAACGTTGAAGCCATATGCACTGAACAGTGAAAGTGCGTTGATTATAAAGTCATTAAGATTAACTATAAATCTAGCATCCAGCCAGTCACTAGGCTTATGGGGCTAGGAAAAGATCTGGATATAAACCAATACTTGCATTTGACTGTGGGTTGCACGTATGATGCAAAAGTTGATGAAGAAAGCTCAACCGAGTTAGGGTTATTTAAACTGTTGCAAGTAGTTACCTCTACACCCATCAAGTGTTCAGTTTAATGTGTCCTTCTACTAAAATCTTTCAGGATGTTTTTTGCGGCGGTGCATCCAGAGTCCAGCCGCCCTGATCCTAGTTAAGCTCTGTGCCGGTATTCTCTCAACGGCGACTGTGCAGGAGGGAAGTGTTACAATCAAGCGATCACAAGGAGAGAATCTCACTGACAACAGTGGGAATAGGGTCAGTTTCAATACACAGTTATTTACAAATACCCTGCTTGCTTCACGGCAAAATTAGCGAGTCCTTTATTGCGTAAAATGACAATGAGTACTACCAATCGATTACAAATTCTCCTGCTGTTTCTGGACCACATTCTGAAACTGAATGTGCGACCGAAAATAATCTAGGGCCTGAATAGAGATCCAAGTAACAACTTTGATAACCTTGGATAACGCCATTTGTCCCTATTCTTAAGTCCGCGAAAAAGAATCACTACCTGACCGCGATCGCATTTAGTACTGATTTCCAGTTTGTTGGAGACTACATGATCGTTTTTTTCTTGTGATGGGTTTCTCATCGATGGGGTCAACAAACTGCGATAACGTAGGTTATTGCGTCCGGGTTCCAGGTGTTCAACTTTTCCTTGCATGATTAGGTGATAAGGTAAGTCTTGATTTGTTAAACTGGATGTATTGAGTACCCTGGTTACCGAACCATGGGCACATCTGTTTACTTTAAATTTTCGATCCGTATTCGGAGAATAAATTTACTAAATGTAGAGCCCTCCGCCAGCTGATTATTTGCCGTCCTCCTGCCTCAGCTTTATCTTGCGCTTTGCATATTATCTGGAATTTCAGAATGCCACTGTGAATGGCTGCTAGCTCACCCACACAATCGGTTTTATTCGATGTCACCACTCCGGTGTCGGATATATACTGTACAATGTAAGTATGCACTCTAGGTAAAGCCAACAAAATGTTGTTTTAGAAGAAATCCCACATACTAAGTAATTTTTTCCAGATGCGCAAAAGTCGCTCAGGCTTCCACTTACATCAGTTGAACACGGGGAGAATACTGGATGATAGACCAATACATGGAAACCATTCACAACCACGTCAACATACATCCTAGAGTAGACAGGATGGATGAACCCGATTTCGATTCTATTAACATTCAGAAAAATTCTGAAGCTGAAATCTAAATGTGTTAATTTCAACTTCATTTTGTTGAAAAATGCAACGCGATACCGATTTGACCCATTTGGACATTTGGCTATCTGCTACAGTTATCCCGTCTTGTCTCAGTTAATTGGACTGGCATTGAGTTGCTTGTTTATCTTCCGTCACCATTTGCCCCAAATTAGACAGTCCAATTTCGGCTAGTTGGCATCCGAAATCATGACAAAACACCGAAGTCATCAAATGTGATTAGTTCTGTCCCACTGCGCCCGGTGAACTGCACTCTAAATTTGCTCATCATCCCGACTCGTAAGCATCACGACAAGCCATCAGTGAGGAATAATTGGAAGCTGTTAGCAGATCTTCAGTTCATGGCAGGCAAAATTTGATGTCATCACTGGCACACCACAACTCATACAACAGACGTCATTGAGGAGTGAACCTCTAAAATCTCGCAACTTATGATGTGGGGTTTCGTCATTTCGGTGAAGCCGAGAAGCAGAATGAAATCGCAATGAAACTATCAAGCCTCCTTACACTACCACAGTTTACAATAGGCTGAGAGAAAAAATAATTTCACAACTTGAGTGAAATGTCCTTATAAGAAGTTATCATTAAAGCAGCCAGTCAATACACGATGTGGTTTCTCCGATTGATAGATCAGTGGCAGTAAATCCCGTCTAAGAGAGAACTAATCACACCACCGTCTGCTACTCTTGTCCGAACGGTTATTTGTTTAACCGCCGGTCAGAAGGTCACGGATTCGATACTTTCCTAGTTTCGTGAGATGCGCACTACGAACGGTTCCCAATAAAGATGATACCGTTGAGCAGTTTTTCGGATTTTCAGCATAGAATGGCTTCATTCACAGGAGAAAATATGAATGTAAAATTACGTGATCTCACACTAACACCAAACTTATAATGCACAGAAAAAGAAGAACGCGGTGCAGAAGGAATTTTATATTCAAAAACACTTTCACTACAGGAATAAAAATGATAGTCCCCGCAACAAAGATTTGAGTTATGAACACTTGCAAGCTTTCTATGTTAAAGCTCTGGCATATCATTTCGCTATTTAATAGCGACCGTTTGCATTCTACTCAGAGTCTGCTCACAGTCTCATTTCAGTCAAAATGCTTTGAAATTATCATATATTTAGATTAGCCAAGAAATAGTGATTGATGCTTACGCAAAAAAATTAGTCAGTAATTTCGCAATGCTTGTGACAAATCTAGTGGGCAGATGAACAGCTCCAGTTTGTTCGATCTTCAGCGAGCGAAGAACCGAAAAATTTCTATATTACGGCGTCACTACGCATAGCTACGCGGAATGTCTTACAGAAGTCGCATATGCACAACTGATGGCTAAATAGCCGTTTAAAAGTGCCGTCGTCCTGCAGACAGTCATATCCAGCACCCTAGATGCATTGACCACTGTATGATGAAAGCGAAAAATAGTAAGTTGGCACTACTCTAGCAGACCATTATGAATGTAACTATTCTCAACGAAAACGAGAAGAAGCAAGTATCTGCTGTTGGGTTGCCATTTAAAACAAGTAATGTATGCTAATTTCCGTGTTATGCGAGTTTTGTTTGCGTGGTTTCGTGTCTGCAGCGCTGTTTCTCATCTGCGTTGGTGCTTTCCTTGTACACACCTAACTATTTCTAAGCTACAACTGCCCAGCTCATGAGTCGTCGGAAGATTTTACTGGAATGTCGGAAGCGATCGACTAGTTGTCCGGTAAATTATTACAGCAAAGCGAATTCTGTAATAAGAGCAACACCATTAAATTATTTCCTGTTAGAACGGGTTCCGATCTCAATCAAGTTACCCAATTTCTGAACGTGTGGAGAGACCCACAAAGTCACCATAATGCGTGGTTCCAAACACCGTGGAACTGTAGTACCACAAGACATTACTCTTGTGCTTTACTTCCCTTCCTTAAATCTATGGTTTGGGCTCAAGATGGGCTGCGATCTGAGGATTATCCGTAAAGTTTCTGGTGCACAAGTTGTTTAGATACCTGTCTAGAGGCTCCGGGGTACCATTTTAACCGCAGGCCGATACTAATTCTAGTCTGGGTTTTACCGAGAATATGTTTCCTAGCACAATCCAGATTGACCATCAGTGAGTACGATGTCAGTTATGCCAGCTTCAGTTCTAAGGTGTCGTTCGAGCAAAACCTCATTGTCCCAACGGTCAGGCATCGCATACTATTCCTTTTTTTAGTCTGAGAAGACAAATCTCCCAAAATGGACGTACTGTTTGTTTCTGGACTGCTTCCTATGAATTGTCCATTAAATTTTGCCAGTGTTCATTTCCGGCTTGCTGACTGTAGTGAATTTAATGTTCGGATTCTGTCAGATTCCACACGGGTACTCAACTTCAACTGGTGGGCGACGGTTGCAAGCAGGAACAGAACCCTCAGTTAGTTGATTGTCACTAGAAATTCCTGTTTCATCTGAGTGGAGAGGGTAAACTAGAATATGGAGGCGGGCGCACTGGTAAATCAGCAAACTGTGCACAAGCCCACATCTGGGTATTTAGAGGGCACAAAAAAGCTCAGATACACAGCAGGGAGCCAGCAGGGCTTTTTGCGCGAACAATTTGCTGAATGCTTCCATTAACGCTGTGGTTCCCATAAAACTTTCCTATTAGTTTTTATACGGTAATACCTGCTCCTGCATTTTAGTACCCACCTGTCGCTGATGATTTCTCATTGAGTGATGTTTAGTCTCTACTAGAATTCCACCCCTGTCGGCACTGTTTTATCTACTCTGGCATTATCAAGCGTGTTTCCCCCGGACTCGCGTCACTCGCGCTATCGAAATTTGTGGTGGCTTTTGCCCACCTCCGACCCACAGAAATGGTTCGGTGACATTCCTGTGTGAATTTAGTTCCGACGGATTTGCCTCCTTTTTGGCATATGATTGGAGATTGCATTCCAATAACATCCGTAAAACGCAGCCACTGGCCAACTTAAAGTGCTACAAGGATTGTTTCCTTAATGGCACAAAACAATGTGCCCCAATGCTCTTGAATCATGGAGACTGTAGCAGGGGTTGGAATCTTTCTAAACCAAACAGGCTGATTATGATCCGCAACATGGAAAAAGTATGTCATTTTTGTCTAGACGCACCTTGCTACTCATAAGGCTGCTGAAAGTTTTTTGGCAGGCCACGACCGATTTCACTGTCGTTGGGGCTCACCAGGAGACTCAGTCACCATGTTTCCGTCAACCTTATGTTCTAGGTGAGCCCAAATCGGAAAGATTGTGATAAATACTTTCATTTGCAAACAACCATCATAAACGAGTTTCAACTGGCTATAGCTGAGTCTCCTGTGAGAAGAATTATTTGCGTGTGAATGGAGAGTATTTGTCCACATACGTCACTCTGGTTGAAGATCACCAGCGAGCCTTATCTTGTTTTCAATCCTCTTAGTGAGTTCGCAATTTTATTTGTTTATTTCCCACGTAGATTTTGTTCATAATCTGCTGTCCGTTCCTGTCCCCACATTTCAAAGGTAAAATGATGCGCACTGGGTTGATCGCATCAACACTTCGCAAAATGAATCACTGTGCAACAGCTTTAATACCTCAATCTTGTAGCGATCCACCCATCCGCCGTCCAAGACGCAGGATAAACTTACGCCGTGTAAACAGTCCACTGACAGAAGTTCTGTAACCCGAAACCTTATTGGGATGGATTTACTCACCAATCCAGTTCAGGTCTCCAAACCAGAAAGTGAGCAGATCGTAAGGGCACCTTCACCTCCATGTCCACATAAGGCTGCCACGCCCAAGGCATGAAAACTTGTTTGGGTCAGTTCAGTGCACTGCATTCTCTCGCGCTTATTGTTTATTGCGACATCCGCATGAGAGTTGAGGTGATTAATTTTTCAAGAGTACCCTCTCATATTGTGACAGCCTAAGGACTTTGATCTGCCTGTCAAACTGGAAAGTGGGAAAACGAGCCCCGGGAGCTAGATTAAAAAGTCGGGATGTAGGATGCCTTAATTGCGATATTACATGTGGCATGCAGCTGAGAGAGGATTCGCGAAGGCTCAGTAGGTTGGTCCCACTTGTTAAAACAACCACTAAGCAATTGCACGCACGCGATGTTTGCAACCATAGATATGGAAAACATCGATCAGGCCTAAGATCAGAGGCGAGTAGTAAAACGGGGTACGCTTAATGACGATTTCCCGTTCGATGGCAGAGATTTCTGCAAGTCAATCGCCAAACTGCCACTGATATTCGGAGCGCAAACAATTCTCAGGCTACTCAAATGTGTCTTTTTTTCTTCCATAGTAATTCACTATGCTTTATACTTCGTACCCCAATTTTTGCATTCCGTCAGTGCAACCCGTTCCCAATTTTACTGCGTTAAACTCCGGGCTAGAGTTTTGGCTATAACGGTTTTAGTTAGACAAAATACATAGATATCTACATTCCATTATGTAACTGTCAAAATGTAGCTGGTACTACTCGCTGGCAGTTGAAATTGGCATTGGTGCGTATGAAGTTTTGGATGACAGGAGGCTGATTAGATGACGAACAGATAAGATAGGCCATGTCCAGCGACCGCTTGATGAGGCTAAGCTTTAAAAGTTTTGGGTAGCCTTGCTAATACATTTACTATCAAGTAACTTGGAGGTTTGTGTCCACAGACTAATTCAAGCTTTTCCACCGAAGTAGCCATCCGATTCCATTTTGGGCATCGCGATCAACTTCAGAGCCGCGCACCTGCAGTAATCTGGCCCGAGGTAGTTGTGGGAGTGCCCAAATTATATGAAATGCAGTTCAAATCACAGTACGTTTCTGCAGTAATCTCCCGTCGGGTGGAGGTGCGTTAGGCAAAGCTGGTTATGTGTGAAAGTTTTCGAATGGTTTTGGACGATCTGAGAGTACACCCTTGCAATGAGATCCTTTGAGTAGAGAGACGTAAGAATTCGAGGAGGAGATTAAAATACACGGAGATTTTGTCGTAATAGTATAGCCACTAATCGAGGGCACTTTATGAATAAAGTTTACTGATATCGGTTGCGTAGGTGGATTCATGTAATAGACTAGACTTTGAAAAGCGCTACCCTTATCAGGGTAAGAAATGGTTTAATGTCCTCTTCAATGATTAGCTTAGAATTTGGACCCCGGAGAACAAAAGTTCAAACGCAGTTTGAAGGCGAACCTGAAAAAGTCCAAGACGACATGGCTGATCCTGGGAAATGGATAAGAATGAACAGTGTTTTAGCCGATTATTGTGTGCGATTGACTACCAAGTGTTTTACATTAATATGACTGATATAGATGGCCTTAGGTTAGTGGCTTCGGTGTTCAAACCAATGGAGTCAAACCCGAGTGAAACACCCAAGACTTTAAAAAAACCACACTATTCTATGCTAGAACTACATTTATTACCACAGGCGCTGTGTGAGACAACGGGTGTCAGTCTATTCTCATCAAAGCCTGGTGGAATACCAGAAAACTGAAGGAAGTTTTAACGGCCGTCTGACGCTGATTTCATTGTCTTGACTGACATATGGTCGGCGGACTGACGGAATAAAAGCGGAATAACTTAATGTTTGTACAGGGTGTAACAAGGAGACATTCCTGCATTTTTCTAATTAAGGGTGTGAAATTACTATACGGAAACATAGTCCTGAGCAAACGAAACAAAAGATATTTTTTAAAGGTTATACTTGAGCAGAGAACTGTTAGTTATTCGGGTCTGGAAAGCGATTTTAATGCCTCGGTTGGCAGACAACAGTCATCTAGTAGATTTTGACAATAGAGCAGCACGAAGTGAGCAAAGGCACAACAGCACACCAGGTTACAAATGCACTGTTCCCTTGACTAGCAAAGTGGTTTCTATTGCCGGAACACACACTACTAGGAATGTTGCTAAATACTCTTGTACTCTTTCACTTTCGTTCTTCTTGTGACTCACTGCGCCCCCCAGTTATTACAAAATTAATTTGCAAATGAATGCTTCCACCAACTTCTCACAATTGACGCTGGGTTGAAAGTAAACCTGACGGAAATTCAGGGACTCAAGAATTTCAATGTGTGCGAAGCTGGTTGAAGTGTTCTCAGCAATTTTATGATTATGCATTCTGTCAAGAAAATATGCTAATATGCTGAACCTACGTCACACACGGTCACAGACATTCACTTTTAGGCATTTATCAGGGTAGAGATGTAGGTTCACTTTAAAGGGGGAAGATTGCATCAGAAACAGATGTTCCAAAATGATAATTATCTTATAGAAATGAAGTATGGGAACACAAAGAAACGGTTATCAGCAGAAATTTGGGGAGTCCTCGCACATCTTCCAAATTTGACAAGATTTGTTCTAAGCGATCGTACTCTGTGCTTCATTGCTTAGAATCGTCGGTATATATACATTGAAAGGTATCAATTCTTGGACACTTTGAACACTATATTGTGAACATGGAATCCATTCATTCCTTCCTCGGAGCATAATTTTGTTACAAACCAAATATCAGACGGGATGCATTCCGAATTCAGAGGTGTTTTTGGTGGAAGTTAGATGACTATGATAATAAAACATCGTTCCCTCTGTTTATTTGTATTGTGCTCACCCCATATTTAAAAACAGAAATATTGGCTAGGACGCAGCATGTGAGCTATTCCAGTTGGTTCACCTGTGCTATTTTCGTAATAGGACCAGGTTTATCTCACAAACTCCGATTTTATCTTTTATACTGAATACTATGAAGGACGAAAATCTATATGCAAGCCTAAATAGGTTGTTTTCTAGACAACAAATTGATCAATAAAAGTCGGAAAAACATTTTCAGGTCATGTGATGTGGGCACTTAGATAGCTTATCTATTTGTCTGCTTTGTAAAAATGACGAATGCAACATCAATACAACGAACCGAAATTTCGATGGATATGAGTGATCAGCGAACATGAATGGTTGTCAGCTGTCGAAAGAAGTGAGACAACTAACACGGGTTCCAACCACGGATAGTGGGGTTATACTGACCTGTGTGCATTGTCTCATGTTAATGTGATTCACAGAAAATCCAGAAGTTCATATCAGATCAAATCACAAGGTTCACTAGATATCCAGGCTTACGTAGTGATGTTGAATTAGGCGCACACTATCAAGAGTAATGAGTAACTAACAGCCCGACAAAAGTCAAACAATAAGCACTGTCTAGGTAAAAAACGTACGAAACCAGGAACTCCGTTATACAGAGCAGGAGTGGAAGGTGGATATCAACGTGTCCCGGAAAGCAGAAAAGCAATTTAGTTTTGTACCAGGTTTGGGTGTAAAGCTACAAGGGCTGAATTTCACCTCGGAAATACTTGCGAATATCTAGCCTAAGGGAATTTTAAAGTCCTACATATGGTAGTGTAGATATAGCATCTCTGCAATCTCGACTGTCTTGCAGACATCAAGCTCAGGCTAGGTACCCTGGCGTGTGCGTTACGCAGTCCTCCGGGCGTCAGGATGATATAACATCTGTCGAAAATGACAATGCAATTCACAATCATGACTGAGGTCTTTTAGAAGAACATGGAATATAAGGCACAGTTTGTTTCATTTTTGCCAGATTTTGTATTATCACATCTTTGAGGGGTCGCCGCTCGCAGTTCAAGAAAAGAGATTATTCGTTTTATTTAATCGCATGTAATTCCACTGTTTAAAAGAGTCATATGTGGCCTCTCCAAAGCCTAGTGCATGATCAGTCTTTGCTGACCCCATCCTGGAGAGAGAAATCTGATAGCTCATTGGCAGACCGGTTTCGGACACTCCTTTTAGGAACTACCAGAAGGTACTAGGCCACCAAAAAACTATATGACAACAAAATCCTGTTGACTATCCCTTCTTAGAATTTTCGCGCTGCTTTATCCTCTAATATCTGCTCCACTGATGACGAAGTGTTCGCAATTCAAGTGTCAAGCTCGGCGAACAGGTCAACAGCCATCTGATCGACTACCAATGAATGCATTCGAGCTATTTAGACACCAACTTTCTGGTGAACATCAGAGTGAAAATACTAATTTCAGGCATATTATCAGCAGCTTGGTTCTCGACATGGAACTTATGAATTTCAATGCACCTGCATGCAGATATCATTAAATGTGGTTGGAACTTTTGAATATGTTGCTGAATCGTTTTTCACTCAGATGAACAAAAAAACGTCAAAGAACTAATTCTATAAATGTGCTACTCTCATTGCCAATAAGCCACCACATTCTATATTTAAAATACCCATCAAACTCTTTGATATTTACGTAGCATACTACTGGAGTAGAATTACTGTTATATCTGCGCGAGATGATCCCATAGTTTTCAATCGATATGACCTGACTGGGAACCTGAAATAAATTCTCATTCCACACATACAAAATACCTCATTTTGGGCAGCCAGTGTGTGTGATCATATGATACTGAGCGTTAGAAGCCAACTACCATAGTGACACACAAACATAATTTGGGATGACGTCAGAACCGCACCGTTTATTACAATGCAAAATTTTTATTGTTTGCTCATCCAGCTTGGGATGGCCGATGGCCATACAAACCATACAAGCCATACAAGTTGAGCTGCCGATCTTATTCCCCTAGAAACCATAAAGTTACTATCACAGCTGTACGTCACCCTCCAAATGGATGCACCATAGTTGATAGAAGAATCTCTAGCCAGCTAATCGGCTATGAAGTCCGAGAAAACGCCGAAAGCCCCATATTGTAAAGCAAGTTGAAAAAACAGTGAAACGCAAATGATACTTGACTGTTGAAATTATTTTCACTCAAACGGATAAAAAGAATTTCGCTAGTGATCAACAAAAGTACTGTCCATTGACACAGCAATACAGTCAGAGTAATTCAAACTAGTTCATGTGGACTTATTTTTTGTAATTTAACTCCCTGTCCTTTCAAACTTTCTTGTGATCCCAGAAAACAATCACGAAAGTAGTCAGTGACCTTTTCTCTTCCCCTTGTGGACAAAGTGAAGGTTTTGTCCATTCTTCTGGCAAATTGAGGAGTTGGAATTTCCCATTGAGATTTTTCTGTAAAAAAGTAAGAAATACCTGAAATTTCTATGCAGCTTTTTCATCCTTAGGGGAAACCATCATCAGTGAGTATCTCAAGAAACTCCATTGTCTCGAATATAATTTAAAACGGAAAGTTAAGACTACAAAGTCAGTGGGTTTTTGCAGGCCATGCTGTCTATGGATGACTGTTAAAGTGGAATCTGCAGTTCAAGAAACATAACCTGTTCATTGTTGCAGCCTGAATGCATGAAAATACCCTTGATTTTCAGGCTGATGTTGCCGCCACAGCTGACCTAATATTTGCATACGCTGGAAATGTGAGCGAATGTTTGTTCACAGTGCCGTTAAATTTTCTGCAGCTTTTCAGGTAAATGAAGCTGCCTGCCATGTGAAGAATTGGATTGGGTTATCTCTCATATTTTGCGGCGTTATGGGCTATAACGTTACTCAGTTCAGATTTATTGATTGGCGAGTACCACGCGATATACGGGATGTGAACAATATTCCAAATAATTAATGTGAGTATCGTATACTTGAAGGTGATAAATTTTGCGGCAGCGCAAACTCATTTCAGGAGATAGTTGTGGTCAGAGCGATTTTATTCGTGATGATAAGGTTTGTCGTTGCTTAGCGTCAAAGTTTGCAGCCGGCGATCAATATGCTCCAACCAGATCTCAGTCACTTGTGGTTACTGGTGTCGCAAAGCATAGAATTTTACCTTAAATGTAAATTTTTATACACCACCAAATTGATCGGCTATTGAATTATAACACATCCAACCGATTCATTAAAATTTGTTTCTACTTAATTTCTACTAGTCACTACTGGGAAAGTCAACTCATTTGGTTGTCGGATTTCCCATCAATAGGCTGTAGTCCATTCATTGTCGTTAGGGTATACAGACTAGACTGCTGTACGTAGTTCCTCATATCAACATCAATATCGTAACTCCATATGTTTCCGCGGAGAATAGTGATCGACCTAGTGCACGACAACTGATAAAACAAAGCTGCCTAGTTCAGATGCGCATTTGTTTACGCAGAATAATCGGCAGTTTTTCGTGGTCAAAAATTTACGTTTTATTTTTAAAGAGGAATTTTGACTATTAGTTCCAGACGAGGTTCCTAAATGAAGCACGTTTGAGCCACCACTGCATTTCTTCCCTGTAACAAGGGATCGTGATGCATTCAGGATGGCCTTGAAATCATACTGGCGATTATTTGGATTGAAAGTTACTTTGTGAAAACCCGTCAGTCTCGTTTACCAGTGCAATGTCTCAATCATTCATCAATTCTAACAGGCTTGAACTGCCATTTCTGCTATTCCGCATACCTGTAGCCTACAGGATTACTAGATCTTGTCTCGATGGAGTGGATTTATAAGTGAATCGCTGAAAATGACTCAAACTGGTTAGTCTGATGTTCGATAGATTCGAAGGACTTGGACTGCTGACTCTCCAAACGTTCAATTGTAGCACATGTAATTTGCTTCCTACAAGATGTTAGGATAGAAGCTAAAGATTAGATGAGACTGCAGTGCTGCTATTCTTTTTTCCGACTTCTTTATTTTGTTATTTTGCCATCCACCCAAAGCTGCCATTATCCTATGGTGTTCCTTGTGAATGAAATAGTTTGGGCTATCCAAGAAATTGTGGCAATGGAGCTGTGGGGAGCTGAAGGAAACGGACATTTTTGGCTTTGGCGATACAAATAATGAGAAAGAGCCTGGATAACTCCAATTTCTCTGCATAGTAACACAAGGCTTTCGGCCTCTGAACATTTCTAGCTGCACCTGTGGACTGAAAACCCAGAGGGGCCCGAGATTATGGGAGCTAGAAAAGGTCCGACATAAATATGCCATTTAAAACTTAGCAGGTTGCTGAATCAGAACTTAAGGATGTGTTGCTATAATGAATCCTCATTGTGTTAGTGTTCTACAGGTTATGCTTCTAAGCCAGCCTCAAGATATAGTACCTCGAAAGTTTTTCTTCTTTCTTTTAGGAAACCTGGAAGCCATTTAAGCTAATGAAGTGCGGAATCACCAAATAGGTCTTCGTAGTTAACGGCTTAGACTTCGGCCTTGTTAACATGGTTCTCTGCTTTTCTCATCTTGCTAATTGGCGATGACTTCTAGCCCACCACATCAGAATAAACCACACGGTATCAGTCCCCTATGTCTGTAACACAGTCTTTACAGTTCGTTGTGCATATATATATGCATGTATTGAAAGTCATACAAATATACAAACCCGTATATATATAACAGATCAGGAAGCATTTTTCGCCTATTTTATTCATCGGCTGTCTAAGGTCTGTGAGTCGACGGCACTTCAATCCGCCTTAATTATAAACTTATCAGCCTGTAACCAAAGCTTAACAAAACACAACCTGCTGGTTTTCTGGCGACACAATATCTGAAGACCTCATGGTTAGGAAAATAATTAAACTTTTGAAAGCAAATATACAAACCCGTATATATATAACAGATCAGGAAGCATTTTTCGCCTATTTTATTCATCGGCTGTCTAAGGTCTGTGAGTCGACGGCACTTCAATCCGCCTTAATTATAAACTTATCAGCCTGTAACCAAAGCTTAACAAAACACAACCTGCTGGTTTTCTGGCGACACAATATCTGAAGACCTCATGGTTAGGAAAATAATTAAACTTACGTTGTGCGAATGGTGGTATGGAATTTGGCCACATAAGCATCACGCGCTGGTCACCACCGAGTCTATTGTAATGCAACTTGGTCACTGTACACATGGTGTATTCATGAAGTTTTCAGGTCCAGTGGAAACTAATGTGCTTCAGTCAGTAGAGGCTATTGAGATAGGATACATTCTGGTGCACAACCAAACTTACTGGTTAAGCCATTTGGAAAAAATGTCGAAAACTGGCATTTCATGTCTAGATGGAAATTAAATTTCAATTTCAAAGACTTCCAAAATTCTCTCTAGTATTTTTAGATGGAAGGATGAAGTGAGATGCAAATATCTAAAAATATCTCTATTGTTAGAAATGAGTAGAATTGAAACGGGACATATGCCAGTGTTCTAAAACCAGCAATCATTTTGGAAAGGTCGCAATCTTCCAGCTCCAGCCACGACACTGCGAACAATTATGACACTCGTAAGCACATGAAGGTGACGCCACATCCGGCTTCGCAGTACGCGAACAACCAGTCATTGATATCCACTGGGTCAGTCATTGACGTAGAGTCCGTCCGAATGCCAACCGCTTCTGCCTTTGAAAAGCAGCTTGACCGGGTTTACGTAGATATGCAAACATATACGATCTTAAAGAGCCAGTTCATTACGATCTATCGACAATGACGGAAAGCAAGATATCTGTTCTGGATTATCGTCCGTGAGAGTGGGTCTAAGAAGAGTGAGTTAGTGGGACGCATCAAGTGCCGGAAGAGAGAAGCGCCTCTGAGTGATGAGCGTCTTATGGACAGCAAACTCACCTGTTTTCACATCTGTGGCTCAATTTTAGTTTGAGGCTCCAAATGGGTCACCGGGAAAATAAATGTTCTATTCTGATTAAGGGTCAGTGTGAAAGCCTCAGTGGTGATCAACGGCTGGCCTTTTATCACAGTTCCGAATGGTTAAAAAGATAAGGTCTACTGGTAATGACGATTCCATTTAACGGTACGTGACATTTCAACTTAAATTCAGAAGACCATATTTAGATGAGCGACTTGCAGCAAAAACCAAGCAACGTTGTAGACGATATTTTGACATTCCTTGCACTCATCTAAGTTGCAGCCTGCGCATGTGTCATTGTCGTTCATTGAATATAGGCAACTAAAATGCGTTTCATTCAATGATCTCGATTGTTATCCCGGAGTCCGTGGCTACAGTGAAGTAAAAGTAAATAAATGAAATCTAAAATTATACAGCTAGAGGACTGGATTGTGAGGTAAGATTTTTCACCGAGGTTTCACCACGCCAACTGGGATAGTTGAATGCGCACCCCCAGTTGACAGTTTAAATTACCCTCAGAGGAGCTTATAAAAGAAAGAAACTGGGAAAAGCACAACAAGGTCACGTGGCCCAGTAATCCACGTGAATTTCATTGCATCCTTTCACGTGAATATCGGAGACAAACGCATTCGGCTTAGCAAAAATCCAGCGATAACTCCAAGCCCGATTTTCCAAACACCAGCAATATTAAACCATTAGCTTTTTGCTGAAGCTGACAGTGATTCTACCCTCCGAAATATTAACAGACTTATGTGTAATATCACAACAAAATAGCCGTGATTGAGAAAAAACAAGAGCTAAAGAGAGGCCATAGATCGCGCATAAAAGAATGTTCCTATCCCGTTTAAAAAAAACTATGCACCCTTATTCCTTTTGTAAGTGAATGACAGCTAGTGTCCGGATGGCGAAAATGTTTAGGGAAAGTTTCGAAGGTGCAAAAATATTGAGATTCCTAACAAATTTCGTCACATACGCTGAATCATGCAAAAACAACTTCAGCCCTCTTTTACTCCATTTTCATTTCCGAAGACCTGTTAAATTTAGGTATCTCAAGCAGAGCATTCACAGTAACATGTCAAAATAAGCAACCCCATGGCGAGACTATCCTTTGCTGGAGTGCTTTCCAAATGAAACCACCTTACTCCAATTCTTGTGAAGTGATTGAGAAACTGATGATTTTTACAACAGCATCCTTAATTCTCACCAATGGTGGCTCTGAGGCCCTCAGCGAGCTGCATTTTGTCCCCAAAAGTCCACATGAGAAGAACCAGCCGCCGATTTTTATTTGTCATTAATAGTTGGCGTCCGGGTAACTGCGTGAGGAGAAAAACTACTTCTCGTGTGCGAATGACTTCCACGTAACACAACTTCCTTCTTCTGAGACAGAGGAATATAACCATTTGCCTCTTTTTAAACACCTTTTCTCCGAGAAGACATTCTTTGGTTGGTCTGGGAGGACCCCGAAATGCCCAGTTGCCGATAGAGGGTACCATTAATGAATCCTCGCGGCTGGCCTTTACGCAGGAAAAAAGCTTTGCTCTATTTTCTCTAATCAGTTGAATTTTTCGGTCCAGCAAAATTATGGTTTACAATGCTTGTCCCTTTAGAAACACAGTTATATACTTTTTCATTCTTGAGAGATTAGTTCTGAGAGACAAATAAAAGCGGCCTTTTCCGCTAGAAGCTGAATTATACGGGGTGGAGTTAACAATAAAGATGCGTCATGGGGAGGCACATGAAAGTTGTCACTTAAAAGTGATTCTCCTCGTCCTTGTACGATATGCTGCTTATTGGAAGAAATCAATAACTCATCAGGTTTTACAGTATTAAATTTGTACATACCAATACGCCCTATTTATTTGAGATATAACTTTGCGTTCCATTACCGTGGGCCCTATTTTGGAATAGAGTGCTGGTTGTGACGACAAGGTAGGGCCAAATTTTCCATGGCTATAAAGATGTTTGTGGACGATACAGGTGATTTTTATGCAAAGATATTTTACTGGAGGTCTTATAAAGGGAGATCGCAATATCAGTAGCTACTGCGTTTCATTTTTTTCTTATCAAAACTTGAGGATGGTGCATTGATACTTTCGAGTGCGCTCGGTAGATGGTGCTCAGCCTAAGCTGTAAAAAGCTACCCTGGAACAGTGTATTTTCAGCGAGGAGGATAAATTATAATTTCTTTCTGAATGTGCACAAATAGCCCTCAGATCTAGGGAGTAATAGCGCTTCAACTCAGGTTTTCAGAAGTATCACCAACAATGTTATTACTGACAACTCTTTTTACAAAACATCATGATGCATCGGATATGGAAAAAGGCATTAAGAATAAACGAAGATCAACCATTTTTCATGTGCTGACAAACATGTCTTGTTAATGCCACAAAGACAGTTGTAGAGTTTATGGAGCAGTTCACATATATCAATGTTCTACTTCCTTCGTCTGTCAAAGGTTTCATTCTGCTCCTCTCATTATTCATGCTTGCTGACTGTCCGTTGTCATACTTCTCGAAATGCAGGGTACATATCGAGGTTGGAAAGCATTTCGGTAGGTATATATTCTGCCATATTCTGCATACTATTCATCCTCATAATGCTTCCTTACTTCAGACGTGAAATTTATTTAGTCGGAGTCCAAGCTGCGTGTTTTGTCATTTAAAGTTTATGGAGAGACACTTTTTATAAGCTGATTTTCAGCAAAAGTCGATTTCCTAATGAAACAGCTTGGAATTCAAAGATGTATATCCGTCGTTCCCGACGTGGGAATACTCACCGAATTCGCATATCAAGAGGCACTTCGGAGAGTGGAACACTAGACTGGCTGCGCAAGATTTCTAACTTTAAATCAACGACCTCCATCTTACTTACTGTACAAACTAGCCGTAGTACAATGAGTGTGAACAGATCGATCAGTCTTTATGTCACGATCTAAAAAAGGCTTACTGAATTTAGTCCAATCAGATAGATGACTATGATGTGGAAGGTGAAGTAGACGAATGGATTGCCACGTATCGTTGCCGAATTTCAAAAGTGAAGAAAGCCAGTACCGTAAACACAGATGTCTCGATCACTACGTTTTTAGGACTGGAAGTATTAAATGTTGGTAGTATCTCACCAGTGAAGTCAGTAGTGACTGAGAAAAATGAGTCTGTTGCAATGTGGACATTCATATATGAGCATTGTTGCAGTTTTTTAACCTGTGATGGAAGTATGGTCAGTCGTTCTCAGCTTATTTTATGATCATTCGTTAAGATGGCAGAAGACTATTTTCTGAGTGAATTGGCCACACGGAGATCAAAATTCAACCAATGGTAGTTTTGGCCTGTTTATGTGTTTGGGCCTCAAAGCGTATTTGACACTCATAAAGTGACACGTCATCGACCATCGAAGAAACTTGGTTAGGATAAATTTTTTAGTGATTTAAATATCGGGGAAATCAGACGAAAAATTTCTTGGTAGATCTTTTTTTACAGATCTGAGAGTTCATGGTCCCCACCAGCCTAAACCAGCGAAATATACCATTTTAGAGAAACTCTGATCCAGTTTGCCTACTGTTGCCATTAACCTGAAAGGTTTTTAGAACTAATATAGTGTAGAATATCTAACAGTCAACTGTTTACCCTAAATTTGTACCGATGCCGAAATGGTCCGGCCACACATGGCTGTTCGATTTCAGTCCCAGAACAACAGAATTTACCATGAGAATACTGCCAAATTTCACCTGGTTATGACAACATTAAATTATATAGATAAACGGCGGAAAAAAAATCATCTTCCTATGGCGTTCGGAACTAAATTTTAGGTTTACTTTTAAAGCTCTGTCAAAATATATGCTCTGGGGGTTATTTTTACCTGGTTAAGCATGAGCGAAATTGGTTAAGATTATGAGAGCCAGCAAACTATCACGATTGTTTCTGAATTTTTATACCAGTTGGGTGGGACTTAATTATTGCCCAGCCATGGAGAATTTTGATCGCCTTCCGCTCAGGAAAAAACAGCTGGTGAATTGCTTTTCTAAAACGTTTACCGTATAATTACCACGGATAAGGACCCTGGATCCATGGTTCGGTAATAATCGGGTCTCCCTTGAGGATGGTGAGATGGTAGGAACAACTCCTACCATTCACTGTTGGTCATAGCCTAAGAAACCTTTGACGCACGGGCTACGAATAAGTCAAAGACCATTTAAAATATATTACTTACATATAATACAAGCCACAATAGTGATCAAATGCCTTTGGGATTAAAGGTATGAACCATTCACTTAAACATCCTCCTGTCCTAATCTGGAACAAAGGTGTGTTTACTACCTTTCTGAAGCCAAACTTTTCTGTTATATAAAATTTCCTGGTGGTCTCAAAACAGGGTACTCATGAAGACAGTATGCTGCCAAATGGGGCTAAAGATGAGTCGGTCCAAACTTTGTTTACGGCTCCATAGGTATGCTGCTTCCCAGGGGAGTGGTGTTTCCAAGGAACTGCTGCAGTCGGGTCAAACAACATCTTGTGCGCATGTGCTATTCAATACTCAAATGTACTGGAACGCTGACATAGGAAGAATAATTTCTTTAGTCGAGAACGAGTCTCTAGACATCAAAGATCTTAGCACATGTCGGAAATATAGTTTGATTACAATAAGTAACGCGTTGATAGGGCAGCTAGAAACAAGGCACTCAAACGGGGTGTGCACATTGGATTCAGTGTACACATATCCTACTTCGCTTTACCGTGTATTGTTACTGGCTATACAGTGGCAGCGCACAGTAAGTAAATGATCGCTTTGTCTTCCAGGTATAAAATTATTTCTATAAAGCTTGGAATTAGGGTCTGGTGACACCTAATTAA